GGGACTGATGAGGAGAGGTGGACAGAAGTTTTTACATGAGGCAGGAAAAGCCATGGTCTTGACCTGGACTAGAACTAGCACATTCCTTTCCAACCTGGAGATGTGACAATGTAGGAGGCTGAAGCTTTCCCCTGTACAAGGCAGGACAGTGGCGGGGTGGGGGGGAATGGAAGCTAGGGGTTATATTCAGTTAATCCAGGGCAGGGTGGAAGCTCTGTGAGAAGGCAGAGGATGCAGGGGGGATTTATTTCCAACCAAACCAGGATTACGGAGCGTACAGCACAATGGTTCGGAGGGGAGTCCACGATGACAGGATGGTGAGCTTCAGGTCAGGGCAACAGATGAAGGTGTGGATTGATGTGAATGGGGCCCGGCTGAGCAGAGGCCAGATTATCCCAGCCACCACTCCTGCACTGTGTTAACTTTTCTAAACTGAACTAATTTCTGCACTCTGGTCCAATAAGATGTCTCTTTTCTCTAACATTCAAACAGCTCCAACCATCTCAGCTCCTTCATGATTGTGTCGTCATCGTCGTCGTTGTCATCATCATCATCACCATCATCATCACCAATGATTTCCTGAATGCCAGCCAAGCACCAGTCATCAAGCTTGAGCCATGATGTAGAGACGAAGGCAGCCTCTCCATTCTGAGGGAAGCTCCCAGGCTAGTAGGAAGGCAAGATTCAGACGCCAGGGATAGGTAGCCCGGGCTGGCGGGTGGAACAGGGGCAGACAAGAGAACCCCAGCCCCACCCTGGGAGCCTGGAAGGGAATTTGCCCTTTGTGAGCGAAGCTCTAAAACCACCACGTCACAGGCCATACCTACATGACTGGCAGGGTTATTAATGGGTCTCTCCTAAGAGAGTCTCAGAGGCAAACCTTGGCCTTGGCAGTTCCCCCAAGCTGCTCAGGGGAGGAGCCAAAGACCTGGGGAGTGCAGATTCCTCAAACATGGCTCTCCTGTAGCTGTCCTTGATACTACGAGGCTGCCCCCAGGCCTGTGCTAACTCCTGTTTGGATCTGCCTCCTGAGTGGGGTTTGGCTTCCGCACAACTCGCCCACAGGGACCGAACCCACTGGTCAGAACAGGAGGGTTCCAGTCTTCCGACAGTCACAGTGCTCAGTGGCAAGAGATAAATTGTCATTCATCCATTCTTTGTTTCTGTCATTCAGGCCTTCACTCAGCAAATAGGTAACTGCTCCAGGCCAGGCTTTAAACACCCCACTGGAAATACAGTGATGCAAACACAGGTCCTTCCCTGACTCCACAGGGCTTACATTCCAGTGGAGGTGACAGACAAGACCCATAAGATAATGGCAGATTGTGAAAAGTGCTAAGAGGAAGTAGGTAGAGTAATGTAAGTAATATATTAAATAATAGAGAGTGAGGTAGTCAGGGCAGGCCTCTCAGAGGGGGTAACATTTTGTCTTTAATTCGATGTATAACTCACATATGGTAAAGTGCACAAATCCTCATGTACAATTTGGTGAATTTTTACGTTTGCATAGGCCAGAGTTTCTCAATCTCTGTACTGTGGACATTTGGGGCAGGATAATTCTTTGTTGTAGGGGCCTGTCCTGTGCATTATGGGATGTTCAGCAGCAACTCTATCCTCTACCCACTAAATGCCAGTAGCACCCCTCCCTACCCAGTTGTGACAATCAAAAATGTCTCCAAACATTGCCAAATGTCTCCTGGGAGGCAGAATCATCCCTGTTGAGAGCCACTGGTATATGCCATGAAACCACCACTCAGTTCAAGATACAGGTTATTTCCAGCATGGAGGGGCTGGCATTTGAGGCCCAACAGATGAGAAGCTGCCACCTGGTCAGAGAACTGAGGGAAGAGTGTTCCAAGTGCAAGGAGCATGAGCAAAGGCCCTGAGGTAGGAATGAGCTTGGCATTGAGGAGCAGTGTGACTGGTCCATGGGGGCAAGAGGGAGGAGGACAGGCTCAGCCCTAGCAAGCAGGGGCCTTGTGGGTTATGGTTAGGAATTTGACATTTCAAAGAATATTTGTGAGTATCTAATATGTATCTGGTACCATGCCAGACACTGAAGAGTTGAAGATGAATAAATTAAATCATTGTCCTACTCTTTTTTTGCTTTTATTATTTTTAATTAACATGAAATAATTACAGTTATTTTCATGGGGTATGGTGTGATATTTTGATATATCTATACAATGTATAATGATCAAATCAGAGTGATCCATCCCCTCAGATATTTATCATTTCTTTGTGTTGAAAACATTCAAAATCCACTCCTCTAGCTATTTGAAAAGATGCAATAAATTGTTAATTATAGTCACCCTACAGTGCTATAGGACACTGGAATTTATTCCTCCCATCTAGCTGTACTTTTGTATCTATTAACCAACCTGTGGCTAACCCCCATCCCCCCCACCCTTCCTTTCCCTGCCTCTTTGAGACAGGGTCTCAATGTGTCACCCAGGCTAGTGTGCAGTGGTGTCATAGCTCACTGCAGCCTCAAACTCCTGGCCTCAAGCAATCCTTGTGCCTCGGCCTCACAAAATGCTGGGCTTATAGGTGTGAGCCTCCACACCCCAAAGTCCCTACTCTTAAGGATGTCAGTAAAGTCTTCAAGACTGTAGACTCTGAGTTAGACATGTGAATGAAAAAATAAGGCACGGGTATGTCATTAAATGATGAAAGCATGTATAAGACCAGAGTTGGCACAAAGGGGGACATGCTTAAGCCCATGCAGCATGTGGGAGGCTTCAAGAAAAGTTTTCTTGAAGAGAGCACACCCAATCTGAGTCTTGAGGGAACAGAGGATGAATGGCACTCCAGGCAGAAGGCACAGCATGTGCAAAGGCACGGGGGTGGGAAACCATGTGGTGGGCTCAGGTAACTATAAATAGTCAGGTCTAATGGAATATAAAGTGCAGGAGAGGGGTGAATAACGAGGCCCCAGTCTGGCTGGGACAGAAGATTCTTTATGGCAGAGGAGGTGAAACTAAAGCAGATTTGGAGCAGTCTTCCAGAACACTCCAGGAGAGAAGGGTATCACTCTCTGAGCCTGTGCAAATCCCCTAAAACACCCACCCTCACACCTCATCTCCAGCCCTGCCTTGACTCCATACATTTCATAAAATGCATTTTGGATTTATTATCTATAGTCTTGTTACTGTTTATGTGTGGCTTGAGACTTAGGATTCAGTCATCTGTTCTCTGCAGGCTCTTGCCTGGGCCTGCATTTCATGTTTAAGATTACAGGGACTGGGTTTTAATTTCTCAATATAATGCTTGGCACAGCCTTACCTGCAGTAGGTGTGTTCACAGTGACTTTTGATGATGCTCCATAATTCTTTGCTTTGCATATATAGACACAAGGACACAAAGGCTCATGTCCCGAAGGGGCTTCTGCAAATTATTAGCTTATCAGTTTTCTCAGAAGGAGCCAATTACAGGCCAGGAGATAAGGAGGGAGCAGGCCACAGGCTCTGTCCCTCAAGATGTACCCAAAGAAGAGAAACTCTATGTCTGCCTAGGTTTTCTGAATTAAACCCAGAATTAGGTGTTGGAACTAGAATTTGTTTGGGAATAATTTACCACATCCCCTGGCTTTTTTGGAGTGGGTAAGTGAGACAGTGGAGAATGAAGCCTCCAATGCATTGTGCGTAATGATCCTATAGTTATACACTCTCCACACTAGAGACTCAGCCTTTAGATCCAAATATCTAATCCACATGCCTCAGAGGAAGGGAGAAAATGTGTGACTGAGGGTCAGGATATCTTGCCTTTTTCAGGCCGGAGCGCAGGAAGCAGGGAAGAAAACAAGAGCATTGCCTCACCTGCTTCCCACCCTGCCAACCCAACCATCTCCCAGTGGGAGCACAGGAGCCTGCCTGTTTGCAGCACTTCCTCCCCTTCCTGTACTGGGCCAGCGCTAGGGCTGGAGCCAGAAGGAACCCAGCCCTGGCTCCTGTGTACCCAAATTTGTAGATTTCACATCTACCCTCGCATCTACTTCGGTGCCACTGACCTTGACAAATTCTGGAACCCATCAGGAAGGCAGCACGATGGGGCTGGGGGTGGTGATGTGGGACTCGCACTGGGCTTGGGAGTCACAGTGCCCAGGCCCTAGACCCGCCCGTCTCTGCCACCCACTGCTGCACAACCTTGGTCAAGTCACCCCCCTGAGCCTCTGTGGCCTCTTCTTATCCTTCAGGGCATGGCTTACATGCCACCTGCTCGGGTGGCCCTCCTCCATCCAAGCTGGGCTCTCTGTGCACCATACCGTTGCCTGCTCTCTCTGCTTCCTTTATAGCACCACAATTTTCCATCACACACACAAACGTGTGTGTATAAATATCTACAATTATGTTGGCCTGCTCATTTGGTTTGTCTCCCCAACAGATTCCAGACTGTAGGCTCCAGGAATGCAGACTGTCCGTGTGTCTTTTTAAAAAATCTTTCCTGATGTGTGTGTCTTTGACCCTTGCATCCTCAGAGCCTGGCAGAGCGCAGCAGGGCACACGGGAGGAGCTAGAAAAGGAATTCAGTAAATGAACAAATGCACGAGTGGCAGCTGACCCAGAAGATCTCTCAGGGTCTTTCCCGCTGAAAAAGTTTATGGGTCTAAGGTTCCCGCCAGAAGGACCACGCCAGGGCTTCTCCCGAGTCCCCTGGGGACTAAAGGGGGCGGGGCGGGCTGCCAGCTTCTGTCCCTTCCCAGGACTCGGGCGGCTGTGTAACCGGATTAGCGCAGGTCCGAGGCCGCTGCGGCCCCGCCTCCTGGCCGGCCGGGGCGGAGTCAGGGCGCCCCCAGCGCGGTGGCATTCTGGCCATGTGCCCCACTGGGGGTGGCGAAAAGGTGAGTCCAAGGGCGAGTCAATGGGCGGGGCCAGAACGCCGGCAAGCCCCCAGCCTGGCCGTGTCGCGGCCCAGCCCTACCGTAGGTTCCCCGCTGGGGGCGGGCCGTCTCCTAGCAACGACCGCCCCTCCCCCGGCCGGCCGCGGGTGCTGCCCCCAGCATGGCTTGGCAGGACTGGCCTGCGGGGTGGCTGTGGGTCGCCGGCTCCTGGCTGCTGCTCCTCGTCCTCGTCCTGCTATTGCGCCCCCGCGGCTCCCGAGCGCTGCGGGGCCCCAGCCGCCTGCTCATGGCGCGCAGCCAGCGGCTGCTCTTCCGAATCGGGTTAGTGCCCGGCTCTGGCGGGATGCGGGCTCGGGAAGGCGGGCGCGCTGGGAAAGGGGGCTGGGAGACGGCATAGGGGTTAGGACCCGGTTTGGGCTGAGGGGTCCAGGGCCAGAGGACAGGGATCGGGGAGACGGGCTAGAGAAGCCACTGAGTTGGGGGCACTGGGGGAGTTGGGAGACAGGAGAATTGAGATGTGCGGGGGAAGGAGGATTAGGGGAAGCGGAGGCGGGCCAGGGTGGCCAGGGGAGCGGATGTGAGACTGCATCTGGAGAAAAGCGCCAGAGCGCGGCTGGAGACCAGCTGGAAAAGGGGGCTGGTAGTGCAGGAACCCGCGCCGGCAAGGCAGTCCCTGTCAGGGGCTGAGGCTGGCCCCGGTGGGCAAGTGCAGGAGAGAAGGAGTGCCTCAGATCATCTAACTGGCATTTGAAACCGCAACTCCTCCCATGTGTCCCCGTCCCTCTCCCCATCACCCAACGCCCCACTGCTCTTTGTCGGTTCTTCCGTCCCAAGCAGGAGTCCCAACCCTGTAGTTCAGTCTGTCCCTTTCTTTCTATCCCCCACCCCGGCCCGTGTGGAAGCCCCAGGCTGTGAAATCTGACTGGAGTGACTCTGCCGGACCTCCAAGGACTTGTCCCCATCAGTCCCTCCCCCTCCTCACTCTTCCCTTCCACCTCCCTCTGCCCCTTCCTTCCTGGGTCCAGGCCAGGCTGGTAACCAGCACTGTTCTGCCACAGGGCCACTGAAAGGCAGGGAAGACACCAGGAGAAGATAGGCTCCCAGGGCTCCTGTCCCCTTCCTCTACTAGCAGGGGGCCTTGGGGCAGGACCTCAAGCCCCAGTTCAGGGACAGTGATGTTGGGGATGGGAACTGTGGGAACCCTGGCCACAGGCCAGGTTGTAGGGAAAGCCTAAGCCTGGGAATTTCCTGAGCTTCGGAGAAGACATTGTGCAATTCACCCCCTCCTCCCCAGACCACCCCAGATACTTCCAGAAGCTTCAGGTCTAGGATTCCACTCACATTCAGTCTAAGAAATGGAGATATAAAGGCCTAGTGGGCAGAAAAACTAGGAAAACATGAGGGGGGGCTCTTTGTGTTTGTGCCTTTTGGGGTATTCATATCTTTAATATCCCCAATGTTGGTCACATTCTAGATAATACTCCAAGTTACCATTGCTCTGCAAATATTAATTGTATTAGAATAATGAGATTTAATGTCTTCATATGTGGGATTTTTATTTTTTTAATTTATTTTTATTTATTTATTTTTCTGAGACGTAGTCTCACTCTGTTGCCCGGGCTAGAGTGCCATGGCGTCAGCCTAGCTCACAGCAACCTCAAACTCCTGGGCTCAAGCAGTCCTCCTGCCTCAGCCTCCCGAGTAGCTGGGACTACAGGCGTGCACCACCATGCCCGGCTAATTTTTTCTATATATTTTTAGTTGTCCAATTAATTGCTTTCTAATTTTAGTAGAGACGGGGTCTCGCTCTTGCTCAGGCTGGTTTTGAACTCCTGAGCTCAAACAATCCGCCCGCCTCGTCCTCCCAGAGAGCTAGGATTACAGGCGTGAGCCACCGCGCCCGGCCCATATGTGGGATTTTTTAAAAAAAAATTTCTCCCCACAAAATTTCTGGGAACTTTATAGCCCTGTCTGGAGAAGGATTTTTCAACCTACTTGTAGCTTTCAAAATTGGCAAGTTTAAAGTCATACAAACAGCCTGAGGACATAGAAGACGGAAGTTTCTGTAAGGAACTGGAATCAGAATTCCTGAGTTCAGAATGCCCGAGATCACTATCAAAGAAACTTGAGGGTTTGGGGATTCCTAGAACTTGAGATTTGGGAGTTTCCAAAACTCTGAAATTGGAATATTCAGAGAGCTTCTTCAGAATTCAGTGTTTGTATGGGCTTTCCTATGTCTAGATTTCAAGGTAGCCTTGGAATCAGCTCCCCAAATTTGCAGAGCAGAAGGATGTGCCTGGAATCAGAATTCCGGACCCTGCCCCTCCATGGTCTGGGAAACAATCAGTCTCGTCCCTTATGGGACAGGCTGCTGGCTTCTGGGAGGGAGAGGGGACATTAGCAGGAAACCGGAGGGGGAAATGGGCAGGTGTTGATGCACTGGGATGCCTCCAGGAAGGATGGAGCGGGAGGGGCACCCAGTGGGATCGGGCGTGATGGGAGGGGGAGAGCACATGTGCACCTCCAACCTGGAGGTGTGGCTGGGAGGACCACAAATAGAGGGTTCTGCCCGGGGGCTGAAAAGCAGATGGTGGAAACATTAAGCAATGGCTGGGAGAGGAGTTCTTGTTGGTGTTATCATCAATAACAGTCATCACTGGTGTTTAACAATTTTATAAAAGGCTTTCCTCAAACATGACTATAATTGTCCTAGGATTGGGATTACTGAGCACAATGGAGAGTGGCCCTGGGCTAACCTGACATTAGACACATGCACTTGGGATTCTGTGGGGCCTGGGAGACAGTGTGTGTAGCAGCTAAGGACATAGCATGTGGAGTCAGACGAATCTGCTTCTGAATCCTAGCTTTATTGCTTAGTAGCTGTGTGGCCTTGGACAAATAACCCCTCTGTGCCTTGGTTGTTTGCATCTGTAAAATGGAGACGGTGATAGTGCCTACTTCACAGGGCTCCTGTGAGGATCAAATGAAATGGCACATAAAGTGCACAGGGCCTGGCTCACTGCGGGTGCTCAGGACATGTTAGCAATCGCTCCTGCTGCAGCCTGGGATGGGCCAGAGGGAGGGTCCGTGGCGCTGGTCTGACTCCTGGAGCTTCCGTGTGTGCTTCCACTCCTGCCTCCCAGGTCTGTCCCACCCGCCACCCAGCAGTAAACCCCACATCTCTTCCTTCATCCAGTGAACACCTAGCTGGGGACTGTGGGGTCACAGAGATGAGCAGGATCCGGTCACTGTTCTCCAGGAGAAGGGGACGGGCGTGTGTGAACGGATTTTATATTTATTTAACAGGGGCCCAAGCTGGGGCAGGGGGCGGGGCATGCATGCTCCCGGGGAGGAGCAGGTAAGCCTGAGAGTCTGGGATCAGGAGTGTGGGGTGCTCCCACGTGTGCCCCTGCTTCATATCCCAGTTGCCCCTTGTCTTCTCAGTGGTGGTTGTGGGGTTTTGCAGAACGGGCCTTGAGGGGAGCCTGTCTGCAGAGGAGAGGCGAGTGGGGCTCGGGCACGACTGGGCGTGTCTTACAGAGCTGAGACGGGGATAGCGGCCCTCCTGGGAGGCTGGACAGTGCTGGATGACAGAGCCCTCCCTCCCTGACCAAGCCCCCTCCACTCTTAGGCCCAGAGGATCTTTCTTGGCCCCCAACTCCAGTAAAAGCAGCTGTCCTGGGACAGACCTTGCTTGCTTACTTTTGCAGGAGGAAACCCCTTACCTGGGGCGAGTGAGATCCACTGGCTTGATGTCAAGGGTGCAGGAGCTGACCGGAGGGTCCTTGAATGAATGCCCCTCTGCCCGTGGCCTGAATGAAGGCTGGGTAGAGACAGGGAGCTGGGCCATCCACTACGCAGCCTGGCAGGAGGCACACAGGGTCCTCTCCTTTCTGCAGGCCTCCGGGACCTTGGAGAGCTGCAGCCTGAGTGTCCGGAACAGCCTCCTGCCCCTCTGCCCTCCCCACTGACCCAACTTTTTCTCTTCTGCCTGGTGGTCTCCAAAGTGTGGCTCTGAGCAGGTGTCCCCTTCCCCCAAACCACATTGTCTACAGAATGGCACCCACAGCCCCCACCCAGGCTTTTGTGGCCCTCCCACACCCCTGCAGACCTGCCCCGTTTCACCCCCCACCTCCAAGCCCTGAACTCTTTCTGTACGTCTGTCTGACCTGTCAGGCCTGCCTTCCTCCTTCCATCTCTCCATGTCAAATTCTGTGGCATCCTCAAAGCTCACCTTCCAAATATATCCAAAACCTGAACTCTTCTCCCCTCCCCCACCACCCTGGGCCACCCAGGTCCCCTCTTACCCAGCCTCCTGAATCGACTGCTCCCTTCTGCCTCTGTACCCCAAAGTGTTCTCAGCACAGCAACCTGAATGAAACTGTGCAGATCCAAGGCAGAAATGAGTCACATCTCTTCTCAGACCCCTCCAGGGTTTTCCCATCTCTCCATGAATGGCTTCGGGGCCCTGAGTGTCTGCCCGTCCCCAGCTCATCCTTTACCACCCTTCACCTTGCTCCTTCCACCTTGCCACACGGGCCACTGCTGTTCCTCAAACACTCCAAGACAGTCCCATCTCCGGGCCTTTCTGCAGCTCTCACTAGAACCCTGTTCCCCCAGATGTCCGCAGGGCTTGCTGCCTCACTTCCTTCAGCCTTTGCTCAAATTTCACCGTGTTGGATAGTCCTGCCCTGACTACCCCTTATAGACAGAGCCACAACCCACCCTGCATTCTCTGTCCCCCTCCCCTGCTTTGTTAGTCTCCCTGGTTCTGTCACCGTGTGACTGCTGTATATTCACTTGTCTATTTGCTTTTTGTTTTTCTCCCTCAACCAGACCGTGGCCACTCAGGGGAAGAAACTTTGTTTGTTATTGTATCCCAGCTTGCAGAATAGTGCCTGGCACATAGGTGGCCCTTATTAAATGCTTTTTTGATTATTTATTTAGAGACAGGGTCTCACTCTATCACCCAGGCTAGAGTGCAGTGGGGTGATCATAGCTCACTGCAGCCTCAAGTTCCTGGGCTCGAGTGATCCTCTCACCTCAGCCTCCCGAGTAGCTAGGACTAAAGGGGTGCACCACCACGCCCAGCTAATTTTTCTATTTTTTATAGGGATGGAGTGGGGTGTCTCATGCCTGTAATCCCAGATACTTGGGAGGCTGAGGCAGGAGGATTGCTTGAGCCCAGGAACTGGAGGTTACAGTGAGCTATGATTGCACCACTGCACTCCAGCCTGGGCAACAGAGTGAGACCCTGCCTCAAGATAAAAAAAAAAAAAAAGTTTTTGAGTGAATGAATGAATGGAAAGCTTGGCTCAGGT